GGTTGCCCCTTTAGTTAAATTGTACCCCCCCCCCCCCCCGGCCGGACAGCAGATGGAGGGAGGGTGTGAGAGTCGTTGGTGGCCATGGGAACGTCACAGGGCGAGAGGCAGCAGCAGCAGCAATCGGATTTGGGGGGCTGCCGGGAAGTGGGATTGCTCACAAGCCCCTGCCCTGGACAGAGACACCCTCCTTCCTGCTGGAGACATGGATGCCCCATCACCATTGGAGCCAGACTGTGGCTGGGGGGGGAGGCGGTGAACTGCAGGTGGGTGGGAAGAATTGTGCAGGATCGTCACAGGGCGAGAGGCAGCAGCAGCAGCAATCGGATTTGGGGGGCTGCCGGGAAGTGGGATTGCTCACAAGCCCCTGCCCTGGACAGAGACACCCTCCTTCCTGCTGGAGACATGGATGCCCCATCACCATTGGAGCCAGACTGTGGCTGGGGGGGGAGGCGGTGAACTGCAGGTGGGTGGGAAGAATTGTGCAGGATCTGCACTGCCCCTTTTGCGCCCGTCTTGTGCCATCTGCTGAGCCCCACCCGGACATGCCGCCCTTACCGCTCGCTGGCTGTGCTAGGAGGCCAGCGAGGAGCTCAGCGTGGTGCAGGGAATAAACCCACAGAATGGTGTTTGCTATGGGGCCGGCTGAGTGCAGGGGCGGGAGGCTGGGCCTCTGGGTTCTGTCTCCAGCTCTCCCGTGACTCAGTCCCCATGGCTTTCCCTTCCTGGAGCCTGCTGCACCCCCTTGGCAAAGCCCCTTGGGGCGACAGGCCAGCCGCTCCCGCCTGGGCTGCGTGCTGCACAAGGGGGGGGGGGGACTCCACGCCGGGGGGTGCGTGTCCTTGGAAGTGCTCAGGGCAAGGAGGCTGCAGCAACGACCTCTCCCGAGACATGCCCTTTGGGGCTGCCTTTGCCGCTGGGCCCCCTGTCCCGATGCTGACGGCGTGGCCCAGAACGGTGCATTATTGGGGGGGGCTTTTCAGCCTGGCTGCCCCCCGACTCACAGACAAGACAACACGGAGCTGTGGGGGAGGGGTCGGGCCCCTGGGCTAATTCTCATCTCTGACAGGCCGGGTCTTCATCTCGGTGAACTTGAGGGAGTACTGCCAGCCGGTCCAGGAGGACCACTCGACGCCGTCGGCGTAGGAGCTGTGGTGGCCCTTGAGGTACTGCCCGTTGAGGTTGGACGTGTGGCAGTTGCGGTACCACCAGGCCCCGTGGTAGAAGGCGGCGCAGTTGTTCTCTGAATGGTCGTTGTCCAGGTCTTTGGTGGTGAACTTCATGCCGTTGTGCTTCAGAAAGGAGTCTCCTGTGGGGCGAGGAGACAGCGCCCGTCAGCAAGGCCCCTGCCAGTCGCGGCTGGGGCGCCCCCGCGCCCCGGG